TGACGTACGTCAAGTCACCCTTCACCTTTCGGCTTAGGGCATCTGCGACGACGTTCGCCTTTCCCGGATGGTACTGAATAGAGCAGTCGTAATCCTTAACAAGTTCGAGCAAACGACGCTGTCTCATATTGAGCTCCTTCTGCGTGAAAATATACTGCAGGCTCTTATGATCGGTGAAAATCTCGCAACGTCCGCCGTAAAGATAATGTCGCCAGATCTTGAGAGCATGAACGACTGCTGCTAACTCCAAGTCGTGCGTAGGATAGTTCTGCTCATGAGGCTTAAGCTGACGTGAAGCATACGCAACGACCTGGCCGTCCTGCATAAGGACACATCCCAAGCCCTGTCTCGAAGCATCGCTAAAGATAGTGAAACTCCGAGAAGGATCGGGAATAGTCAACACCGGTGCTGAAGTCAACCTCCTCTTGAGCTCCTGAAAGCTCGCCTCACAACGGTCATTCCACTCAATCTTCACAGACTTCCTCGTCAGCTGGGATAGAGGGAGGGCGATCTTGGAGAAGCCCTCGATGAACCTGCGATAGTAACCAGCTAAACCGAGAAAACTGCGAACCTCGGACGGACTCCTCGGTGTCGACCAGTTCTGAACGGCTGAGACTTTGGAAGGATCCACCTCGATACCTGCCTGAGTAATCACATTACCTAGAAAGGATACTCGCTGAAGCCAGAACTCGCATTTGGAGAATTTGGCGTACAACTTTTCTCGTCTGAGGGTTTCGAGAACCACCCTCAGATGCTCCTCGTGCTCCTTCTGGCTCTTCGAGTAGATAAGAATATCGTCAATAAAGACAATAACGAACTGATCGAGGTAGGGATGAAAAATACGGTTCATGAGGTCCATGAAAACAGCTGGCGTATTGCTGAGACCGAAAGGCATGACGACGAACTCGTAATGGCCGTAACGAGTCCTGAAAGCGGTCTTAGCAATATCTGACTCCTTAATCTTCAGCTGGTTGTAGCCTGATCGTAAATCAATCTTCGAGAATACACAGGCTCCCCTCAACTGATCAAATAAGTCGTCGATCCTGAGAAGCGGATACTTGTTCTTGATCGTCAACCGGTTAAGATCCCGGTAGTCGATACACATACGCATAGATCCGTCCTTCTTCTTGACAAAGAGAATGGGTGCTCCCCATGGTGACACGCTCGGTCGGATAAAACTGAGTCGTAATAGCTCCTGGATCTGAGTCTTAAGCTCCTGCAATTCCTTAGGCGCCATACGATACGGGGCTTTGGATACTGGACCGGCCCCTGGGATGAGATCAATAGAAAACTCCACCTGACGGTTAGGCGGTCCTCCTGGAAGCTCGTCTGGGAACACGTCCACAAAATCGCGAACGATTGGAACATCATGAGGTGTTTGCGCTTTCTGAGAATCATCGACAAGGCTAACCAGATAACCCTGGCAGTTGCATCGTCGCAATAACTTAGTGGCTTTCGCCATCGAAACAACATGAGGCAGTGAACGATTCCTGGAACCGAAGAAAGTGATCGATTCGTCTCCCGGAAGATAGAGAGTGATCTCCCGGTCATGACACCTGATGTCTGCATGATAGAAGGATAGCCAATCCATTCCGAGAATAAGGTCGAAATCCCTCATCTCAAGAACAAACGCGTCGGCAGTCAATACTCGGCCACCGATGAAAAGGCTAAGATCTGAGGCTTTAGCTGAGGTCACTATCTTTCGTCCCGAGGCTAAACTCACCTCGAGAGGATCGACAGCGGTAACGGCATGAACTCCGATGGCATCGAGACATCGTCGAGAAATGAAAGTATGTGTCGCTCCAGTATCGAATAAAGCAAACACAAGAATATTATTGAGAACAACCATCCCTGAAATGGTACCTGGTTGCTGTGCTGCCTCAGCCTGATCAACCGCGTAAACCCGGGCCTACTGTCTGCCCCTCTGCTGCTGCTGCTGAGGCGGCCTCTGTGCCTGCTGACGTGGCTGCTGCTGCTGTGGTGGCTGCTGAGGCTGCTGCTGGAGTCTCTTCGGACAGCGACTAGCAAAATGTCCTGGCTCGTGGCAGTAGTAACAGATGTCCTGTCCCACATGACACTCTTCCCGATGAAGTCGACCACAAGTCGGGCACGGTGGAATCGGCTGCTGTCTCTGTCGGGTCCTCCGGTCAGTCTGTGCACCCTTTCCCTTCCTCTTCTTCTCCTTTGCTGGCTGTGGGGCTGGTAGAGCTGGTGGAGCTGCGAATGGCTGAGTTGGGGCTGATGGCTGGGCACGATCACGAACTGCCTCCCTCCTGATACTAGCGTCCACCTCCTGGGCGATAGAAACGGCACGAGCGTAGGTCTGAGTCCCGTGTCCCACAATGTTGTGACGGACTGCTGGGAAAAGCCCGTCAATGAACCGCTGCGCTCTCTGAGCCTCCGTGCGAACAAGATCCGGTGCGAAAGCTGCAAGTCTAGTGAACTCTCGCTCGTACTCATCAACAGTACGAGTGCCCTGCTGAAGCGCTAAGAACTGACGCTCCATCTCTGCCCGATAGTAGGAAAGGTAGTACTTGTCTCGGACTAGCTCCTTGAACATGTCCCATGTACAACCCGCTTTTTCACCAGGACGCATGCTCCAGTAGGAATTCCACCAGAGCCTTGCATCACCAGTGAGCTGAAGCTGAGCGCAAACTACACGATACCTATCGAGGCATTCCATAACCTCAAAAATAAATTCCAACCCCTGAATCCATTCATCAACGATGCGGGGATCTCCCTGTCCTGAGAACTTTTCGGCGTGATAGTCGCGGAACTGAGCGACTACCGCAGCCTGAGTAGGAGCCTGATGATCGGGTTCCCTACGTGGCGGCATCTGATCATTGAGAAAAGTTAACATTACTGAATATGTGATAACATTACTGACTGATTACTAAGGCACACAAATCTCTTGACGAGTCGCCAAAAGTGGCCGATAATTACTGACATGAATCCTGAAGAACTCTAGAGTCATATAGGCAGATCCTAATGTCTAGAGTCATATCTGAATGCCTGAATTCTAGAGTCATGTCCGAACTCTAAAGTCTGAACCTGATTCGGGCATCTTAACTAAAGTCCTGATCCTAAATTCTGAGCATAGACAAAGTAATATGTTTATAACTGAAAAACTGAATCAGCACTTACCTGTCGTCGGCGGGGCGTGAGCATGACGGTTCAGGTTTTTCTGAAAAATTACTGTCTGAAAATCTTTTTCAGAGACGCAAAAACGTGCTCTGATACCAATTGTAACACCCCTCCTTATCGTTAAATCAGAGTGTGCAAAAATTCGCAAAGTTATTTAAAAATAAAGCCTTTTTACTTTGCGAAAACTGATTCGGGGTGCTACCTTAAAATCATGACTTAACTTGGAAAACCGTTATTTTAATTTTAATAAAATCGTCCGGTTACTGAAAACATGAATTTCTTAAAAGTTCATCAAGATAAGTTCGTCAAAATGAGTACGTCAAAAGTCATCAAACATCGTCAAAAGTCATAAAAAATGTCATTAGCGGAAGCGTAAGTCATCATCATAAATATACAGTCAAAAACACAAATGTCCTGAAACTGCCGTCACGTCACGCTCCCGGCCCGACATCCTGACCTGAAAAACATGATAAAAGTGGGAAATGAGCACTATGGCACTGTGCCCCGTGGAAACTCATACTAATGTAAAACATCGAAAATAATAACAACATCATGATATCAGTATATACATAACCTCAACCTCAAGCCGGTAATAACATGAACATGAATCTGAAA